CCCTCCAAACCGCCTCCCTCTCAATAGCAAACCTCCAAGCCCACTTTTCCAAAAGTGCCCTATTCACCACCTTTAAATTAGGAACCCCCAATCCTCCTTCAATTTTTGGTTTACAAACATCGGACCAGCTTACCCAATGTATCTTCTTTCTCCCATCACCACCACCCCACAAAAATTTGACATGATAGAATTTAGAGTCTTGTAAACTGAAGCTGGAACCTTGAACATTGACAAAAAGTAAATCGGGAGTGAGCATAGAACTGATTTAATTAGAACTAGCCTGCCTGCCAGTGACAGAGAGGAGCCTTTCCAGCCCGCTAACCTCTTATTAAAGCTTTGAACCACTGGATCCCATAGAATGTTGGAGTTCCTATGTGGACCTAGAGGGAGACCCAAATATTCTGAGGGAAAAGAGCCCACTGAACATCCAATCATAGCTGCCCAACCCTTAATTTCCTCTTCCTTTAAGTTCACTCCAAATAATTTACACTTCTTTAAATTCAGCTGGAGACCAGAAATAATCTCAAACACCCGAAGAACCCTCTTTACATTCAAGATCTGTTTTTCCGACGCCCCACAGAACATAATAAGGTCGTCAGCAAATTGCAAATGGGTTAAATTAAAATCCCTCTCGTCTTTTCTAATGACCAGTCCCGAAAAAAGCCCTCGTGAAACAGCCTTCGCTATTAATAGATTCAATAGTTCCCCAACTAAATTGAACAACAATGGAGACAAGGAACAGCCCTGCCGAAGACCCCTCGCCATAGGAATTTCCTCAGTAGGAACTCCGTTCACCAAAACTGAAACAGTCGCTGAAGTGACACATTTCGAAATCCAACCTATCCATCTAGAACCAAAGCCCATTTCCTTCATTATTCTGAACAAAATAGGCCAGTCAAGAGTATCATATGCCTTCTTGAAATCAGCCTTAAAAACACACCCTTTTAAACCATTCTTCCTCCAAAAGTCAATCCCTTCATTTGCTATAAGAGAACAGTCCAGGATTTGCCGACCGGGGATAAAAGCGAATTGACTTGGACTGATCAATCTGAAATGCAGCTCCTAAGTCTTCTTGACAAACATTTCGAGAGTATCTTATACAATCCACCAACAAGGCTTATAGGTCTAAAATCGTCCAGACCAGCAATGTTAGAAATCTTAGGAATAAGAGTGATGAAAGTGTGATTTACACCATGTTCCCATTCCTTCCCCAAGTAAAATTATGAAAGAATTTCATAATATCTACCTTAAGGAACTGCCAAAACCTCTTAAAAAATCCCAAATTAAAGCCATCAGGACCCGGAGCTTTGTTGCTGCCACAAGATTTCACCACTTCCCACACTTCCTCCTCAGAAAACTCCTGTTCTAAGAACTGCTACTGCTCCAAAAAATTCTGGGAAAATCCAGATTCAAATCATCAATCTCTAAAGTAGTTCGTTCATTATAGATCTTAAAAAAATACTCTTTAACTATGGCCTTAATTGCCGTTGGGTCTTCAACTGTTTCCCCTTTGAAGTTTAAAGCAAGTAGAGCATTCCTTTTATTCCTAATCGTAGCACAAGTGTGGAAGTATTTAGTATTGCGGTCCCCATCAACAATCCAATTAGTTCTCGAGTACTGAAACCAGATCTGCTCCTGAATCTTGTGAAGCTTCCACAATTCTGCTCTTAGATTTTTCAATTCAATTAATACCTCACTGTCAACAGTTCCTTGCTTCTGTTGAATGTCATCCTCTATCAACGAAATCTTCTTCTCTAACTCAGAAATCAAAGCACCTGGATACTTCTCTCTGTTCCCAGACCACTTCTTAATTGCATGTTTGGTGTTCCTCATCAGACTAAAAACGCCTGCCTCATTCTGACTATCCTTACCACTCTGAAAAGAAGAAACAACCAGATCCTCAAAACCCTCCTCATCCATCAAATAATTGAATAATCTAAAGGGTTTTCTACCCCAGTCCACCCCTTTATTCTCCAGAACTATAGCATTATGATCTGACAAAGATCTTGGTAGAAGCGACTGCACAACGCCCGGAAACAGCTCTAGGAAACGACAATCAACCAAAAAACGGTCCAATCTAACAAAAGTGGGATTATCTTGGTTATTACACCAAGTGAACCTACCCCCGTTCAAAGGAAGATCAATCAAGCCCGTATGAAGAATGAACTCATTAAAGATCTCCATTGAACTCCTACTTTGACCCCTTCCCAACTTCTCATCTTCTTGTAAATATACATTGAAATCCCCTCCCACACAAATGGGATAAGTCTGTCCACTAAGAAAACTGCTCAATTCTTCAAAAAAACCAGATTTCTCCTCCTCCACTGCTGGACCGTAGACATTAATGAAACCACACCCGGAATCAATACTCCGAAGTTTACCGAAAGTAGCTATGAATCTCCTGCTAACAAACTGATTCTCCAGCTCAAAAACATTGTCATCCCAACAACACAACAGGCCCCCCGCTGATCCAACTGAAGGAGATTCCAAAATTCCTTTTAGTTTATTAATTCCACTTCTCCTAAAAAAAGACTTCCTAAATTTCTCAGTCTTAGTTTCTTGCAGCCAAAGAAAAGTAGGATTAAAGTTGGAGACTAAATTCTGAACAGCCCTCTTTTTCTCGTTTTTTCCCCAAACCCCTAACATTCCATGAACATATTACTAGCTTTGTCATCATCAAAAAGGAAATAGGTGCAGACACACTCCTCAATCAACCAATCCATTATTAACCCCATTTACGCCTTTCTCTAAAGCTATGATTTTATCCAAAAAGGCTTCTTTCCCTTCCTTAAAAGACACACCCAAAAGCTTGCTAACCTCCCAAGTTTCCACCGCTTCTTTCAACAGAATCGAAAAAGCTGAGGAGGATGCTGTATCAATGCTCACCTGGTCTAGGGCTTCACGATACAGGATCCTTTTAGTTCTTCTCTTCCTTCTAATCAGCAAACCAGATTTGGACTTTAAGCAATCACCTTCTGAAAAGTAACCTTCAATCTCCCTTCCTACACTCCCACCCCCATATCCATTGTCAAGATAAGGATCAAGACTCCCCTCAGCAATGTTCTCTGCTGATAAACAGAACTGAATATTAGTACTGGAATCAACATCTAGCTCCCTCTGCTTAACTACGGCACCCCCTGTTTCAGACGAGATGTTCAACAAATCCCCATACCAGTATCTTCTTTCCCTCGACCTGTTGTAAACCCTTTTGCAATTGCTCAGACTTCTAGTTTCCAGCACATTACTCTCTGTTGTAAACTCCCTTCTAGAGCGAAGTAACTGCCTCCCCTTGAGTTGTTGTTTGAAACCTGTTCCAATGGTCTTAAATTTTCTTCTTCGGGGTCTATCTCTACACTAAATGGCTTCTCTACAATTGGACTCGATTCCAATACCTTGGACACTCCCCTGCTTTTTCCTGATAAATGAATGTTTTCAACCAATTCCCCAAACTTATTAATTGTATATGCTGGCCCAGAAATAAAACCCGAAAAGTATTTTGACCCAGACTGCCCAGAATCTTCAGAATGGGCCTGAGATCCATCAGCCGAATAATTTGACTTCTAATCCCCAAACCTGCATACTCACCAACTTTAAACTTTCCAACAGTCTGACTTTCTGACAGACCACATTTACTATCTTTCCTATCTAAGGAAAGTCTTGCTAGCTGTCTGTCCTCACTAGCTCCTCCAGAAACACGAAACACTCCCTGGTCAATCCAATTGTCCACTGACAAACGATTTTCCCCTTCTGCGCAAGTCTCACCTTCCCATGAACTGACAACAATCTGTCTTCATCCTTCTCAGACATCCTCTCTTCAAAAATATCTCACCGGAATCCTCCACCGGAAAATTATTGAAAAACGAACTAGAATATTCACTAGCTGATCCAATCTTGATACTTACTTTGTATGATCTTCCATACGATCCAAGAGTAATAACCTCTGGAACATCAAAAGGACTTTCCACCTTCAATAAGATTCTTGCCATTGTGAGATCTTCTCTTTTCCTTGTATTATCATGGATATCTACCACACTGCCCATCTACCAGCCAACTTCTCGAAGAAGGGTTCATTCCAGCATAACAAAGGAACACCTTTTAATTCCGCCATGCAGAAGGCCATTGGTACCCCGGCTTCATTCAGTAAAGGTTCCACTCGCTCGAACCACTGTTTTAAAACTTCTTCCTTCTTACTCCATAACTCCAGCATCTCCTCATGAGATTTAAGAACTATCATACAAGAATTCCAGACATAGCCCCATCTCGCAATTTGAACATCATGGCCTTCTTTAATAATGCCGTCCGAATGAGCTCCACTTGAAAGGAGTATTTGATAATCCCTGTTAACGACCTCTTCACCCAGTTGGCGCTGTCTGTTGGGATATGCATCTCAAATATATTTCCCTTGACATTCCTCCTCTGGATATCCTCAGACATTAGATCATTGTTCCCCCTTCTATTCCCATTAGACAACAGAGCATCCCTATAAGATCTATCATCCCTCCTACTTCTATTAATATTAACTCTATCTCTTGATTTTGAAGATTCTGCATTAATCTGACCAGCATCATTGTTTGAAGAAGAAAGCAACACCCTTGACCTTGAACGTTCATCCTTAAATCTGGCAGGACTAACTGAGATCTTCCTTCCATCAATCACAATCCCGTTTAACTCCTCAACAGCCCTCTTCAGATCCTCCTCCCTCTTAAAATGAACAAAGGCAAAAGTAGAGAACTTGTATTTTGGATTTCTAGTTTGGCTGGGAATAAAGACTCTCGTAACAGGACCATGAACTAAGAATAATTCCCTAAGCGTACGATGGGAGACCCTTTTACTTAGATTATCGATAAACGCCGACCAACACTCAACCGGAACTGACTTTCCTTTCAAATTCTCTCTCTCTACGTTTTTCTCTCTCTCCTCTTCCATTCTGTGGTCTGCTACCCGGATTTTCATTAATCCATCAGTTGTTGTTTCCTTTCAGAAAAGATCTCTTGAATTAGATGTATTATGTACATTGAAAATAGTTGGTATGTAATTAATGTTTTTGAATTGTATATGCTCTGATCGGTTTTGTTAAAAACATTTAAGCTCTGAATAGTTCTGGAAATATTTTGAATAAGTTACATGTACAAAAGTTTTAAATTACTCACTATTTTATACGAATAAATTTTTGAAAAGTCAATGTGACATTTCAGACTCGTATCCTGGTCGGATACGGGTTGGGGGTGTTACAAGGGTTGCTTTTGATAAGGAAGATTAACACAAAAATGTTCAGGAGCTAGCTGATTCTATTGAAAAGTGTCCTGAACTTGAAGCACAGTTTGGTGATGCCTTTAATAGAACAATTACACGTGTTATGGATGTTTTGCAAAAGTTAGGTTCATTTGGTAATTATGTTTGTTTGTTTTTTCACCCCCTTCTGATTTAGTTACGTTGGTGGCAGGAGAATCTGGTAAATCATTCTGGCAAGAAGACTTCCTGTCTCTCTTTGCATTGTGGAACACTCTTAGAGTGCATACATGCCTGGCTGGACCTAATATTGAGCTTTAGTGACAGTTTCCTTGAAGATTACTTAGTTATGAATAAAACAGTAAGTTGGTTCATTATGAATTCTTACAACTTATTTTCTGTTGTTTTTCCCCCCTGCCTTCCCACACGGAGCTACCACGGTTTGCATTTTTGACGACATCAAAACTTTTATGCTTTCTGTTCTTTGATTCCTCCCCTAATAAATTTTTTATAGAAACATTTTGCTCATGGAAACTAGTTATTTCCTTGGAGAGAGTTCTCAGGAGGTTTAGGAATTTGTATTGGTGGTACCTGGTGGAATAGTTTCACCTCTTGTTATTGATGAAGAAATCATTTTTGTTTATCGAATTTAGTGTGTTCAGTACAATCTTTTAGAGATTAGAAAAGTGGCAATAGTTTCCCTAGCTGGATATTTCTAATACTTAATCTTTATTCTTCTGTGCAGGTTTCTGTACTTACTCATGGGCTTGCAAATATTTTTGCTGCATTGTATGCCAAAGGATTTGGTGTTTCACCAAAAGACCAGGAAGATGGTACCCATGATGATATGACTAAAGATGCTAATGGAACAGGTATGGGGGAAGGTGCTGGGGTAAAAGATGTCAGCGATCAGATAGAAGATGAAGATCAGCTGCTTGGGGCATCCGAAAAGGTATGGTGGTTTATTAAATTGGACTTTACTCAGCTGCTACTAACATTTAATTCTGAGAAACATATTGAAATTTCACTCTGTTACTCCAGCCAAGCAAAGAACAAGATGCCTCGAATGATGTTCCAAGTAAGAATGAAAAAGGAATTGAGATGGAGCAGGATTTTGCCGCAGATACATTTAGTGTCAGTGAGGATGACTCTGAAGAGGATAATAATGAAGAAGATGCTGAGGATCAGCAATTGGAGTCTGCTGTGGGGGAAACCGGAGAAAAGAGTGAAGTGGTTGATGAGAAGCTTCAGGGCAATGATGATGATGACAATCTAAATAACAATGAGAAGTATGAATCTGGGCCTTCAGTTAAGGACAGTGACAAGAGCAATAGGGAGTTCAGAGGCAAGGAGGATTCTTCTGGTGCAGCTGATGAACCTGACGAAAATAAAATGGATGAACTTGAGAAGGAAACTGGTAAGACTGAAAACCAGGCTGATATTGATGAGAATGAGAACATTGAAGACCTGAACTTAAACAAAGAAGAAGCATTTGCTGATCCAACTGGATTGGATCTTGATGAGCCGTTACAAAATTCTTGTGAAGATATCAACATGGATGAAAAAGAGGAAAATGATGTCGAGGATGAAAACGGTGAAGGTGAGGAAGAAGAATCTGTTAAAGATGACACTGATGAAGGTAACTCGAATCCTGTTGATGAAACCATGGAAGAGATGGAGAGTGAAAGAAATGATCGAACCACAGAGAAGGATGGAATGGTGGATGCAACTTCTGATGAGAAGGATGATCTTGGCGATGATCACAAGGAGGATCCCAATTTGAACCAAATGGCTGCAAGGAAAAATGTTTCCGAGTCAGAAATTTCTGATATCAATGGTGATCGTGTTCCTGATGGGGGAACTGCGACGCGGGCAAACAGCGAGGCATTATATGTGAGCAATGTTGCACCCGAAGCAAACTGGGCTAATAGCAGTGACATCTACAATGACCTTGCTCAGAGAAATCTCACTTCCTCCAACAATTCTGACTTGAATATCATGACTGCCGACTCATCAGATGGTGGGAAGGTTGGTGATCATCATCCAAAATCAGAGTTCCCTCACCCAGATGATGCTCCATTTCATAAAAAACAATCAAACCCTTACAGAAATGTCAGGGATGCATTTCAGGAATGGAAAGAAATAGTCAGCATCTCTGTTGATCTTCAGGATGATAACAAGGAGTCACAGGAAGAAATTCAGGATGACAATGCTAACGAGTATGGTTATGTCTCTGAGTTTGACAAAGGAACGGCTCAGGCTCTGGGACCTGCTACAGCTGAACAGGTTGATGCTGATGTCAATGTCAATAAGCCTGATGAAAATACTATTCCGAAAGAGGAAGATGGTATCACTGATATAGAAATAGATGAGAAAATTTCTGATGAGTATCCTATTAGGCACTCTTCCTCAATCATTAAAAATAAGATCAACGATCAGGTTCAGGTTTCCGAGTTAGAGGAGCAAGCAAATCATCAATCCCTTGGAGACCATAGACATCATGATGGTGATCAAAGAAACTTTTCAGAGTGCTTGGTCTCTGTAAAGAAGTCTTACATGAGTGAGGATGTATATCAACTCTACAGACTTTCTACAAGTGAAGAGAAAATGGGACAAGTCCAGGACCTTGAAGAAGCTTCTGGCGAGGTCAAAATTAATGCGAGTGCTCTTTGGAAAAGATACGAGGTGCTTACAACAAGGTTATCCCATGAGTTGGCTGAACAACTACGTCTTGTTATGGAACCCACTCTTGCCAGCAAACTCCAAGGGGATTATAAGACTGGCAAAAGGATTAACATGAAGAAGGTAAAGAGCGTATATGCTACTATATCTTTTGTTATAACTTCTGCAAGATCTCATTTTTCTTGCAACTCATTTACGTGTTTGGAAATTATAGGTCATTCCGTACATTGCTAGCCATTACCAGAAAGATAAAATCTGGCTGAGGAGGACCAAGCCAAATAAGCGAGATTACCAAGTTATTTTGCTGTTGATGACTCCCACAGTATGTTAGAAAGTGGTTGCAGTGAGGTTGCTCTTAAAGCTTTAACGACTGTTTGTCGTGCCATGTCTCTATTGGACGTTGGGAATTTGGCTGTTGCCAGCTTCGGGAAGAGAGGAAACATAAGGTTGTTGCATGATTTTGATCAGCCCTTCACTGGTGAAGCAGGTCTTAAGGTTAGTGTTCAGAGTCCTCCTTGCAAGAGAATGGGCTTTATTTGTCTTCTTGTTGTATCTTGCGCTTAGGCTATATATGTGTCTAATCAATCTCTCTCTGAACTCCGATGCCACTGAGATTATGCATTTTATAGTGTTTTTTTTCTCATTTAGATCATGCGAAGTTTATTCTCTCCTGCTTGACTGATTTATTTTGTGAATACTTGTCTGGGACAGATGATTTCTAGTTTGACATTCAAACAAGAGAATACTATCACAGACGAACCAGTTGTTGATCTGTTGATGTTTTTAAATAAGAAGCTGGATGCTGCTGTTACAAATGCACGACTTCCTTCTGGACAAAACCCTCTACAACAATTTGTTCTAATTATTGGGGATGGTCGGTTGCACGAGAAGGTAGAGTACATCTATATTTTGCTGAAATGACAAACGATAGGGAAATTTTCTGCCGACAGTTTTGTCCAATCCGCATTGGTTAAGATTCTGATTTATTTACTCTGTTTATTGTTCACCATGTATGCAGGAGAACTTGAAGCGTCGTGTTAGAGATGTCTTAAGCAGTAAGCGAATGGTTGCTTTCCTGATTCTTGATAGCCTGCAGGAATCAATCATGGATCTTCAGGTACGCTGAGGACCACGTTTTTGCCAGGGAGACTAGAATATTTGAATTATTTTTGACATCCTTGTTTGGTCTACAGGAGGTTATGACTAGTCAGGACAAGAACAATCAATTTAAAATCTCTGTCTCAAAGTATCTGGATTCTTTTCCCTTCCCATACTACGTTGTGTTGAGGAATATTGAAGCACTTCCCAAGACCCTAGCTGATCTGCTGAGACAGGTAAATTTGGCTCAAGGTGATCCTGTGTATGTATATTTATTTATTTGACAAGCACGAGTGAATTTTGGCTTCGCTCTTGCTGTTGGCAGTGGTTCGAGCTCATGCAGAATTCAAGAGACTAGACACACTGTTACGATCGAAGGACGGAGATGCAGGGAGTTTGAAAAGAGCACGAATGAGTAAATATCCAACAAAACTAATCTGGGAGAGGAAGATGATAGACCAAATATTCTTATAGGTATAAATATGATACATATATATGATATAGCCAGCTTGGTAAAAGCTTCATTGTGAAATCCCCGTATCATTTTTTGAGGAAACAAAAACGTTACTAGAAACTCAAACTGAATAAAAAGACCAACCGGTTGTTTTCACTGATGTTCTATCGTTGGATGTTTACTCCTTTTGAAAATGATAAATGAAATTATCTCCAATGGGCCAATAGCCATGCATGTTGCACTTTCAAGCTACCAGAAAATTCATTGAAGTAACAAATATTGAATAATCCGACTTTTGTATCTATAATCTCTGTTGGTGTAAGCTTATACACTAATAATGCATATATTTATGACCCGTGATTACTAATGTGTATATTTTAAGATTCATTAACAATGTCATAGTTCTTTTTTGGCATTTAATATATAATTTACGGTTAGTATAAAAGGTTATATACAGTTTATTCAACTGAAATTATAATATATAATTTTTTAATAGTTTAAGATGATTATAAGATAATATTTATTTTAAAAAATTAATTTATTAATAATATTTTTAGATAACTATATTTTTTTATTTCAATAAATGTATAATTCTCTTTTGACAGTTTTAAGTACAAAATAAGTCACATCAATCATTATTATAAGATTGCATATATATAACAAAATAAAAACTCTAACAATTATTTCGTTTATTTTAATGTATCAATTTATAGTTGATTTTTTAATATTAATTTCATCTATTGTTGGCTGTAATGTTAACTTCTTGAATAACTTGTATCTCTTCATAATGTTAATCTCATCTATCGTTTATTTTATGTTGTTGATATATATATATATATATATATATATATATATATACATAAAAATGTAGATCAATCATATTTAAATATTTAATATTCTTTTATTTATAGATGAAAGCATTACATATTGAGCTAAAAATATTACTATAATACTATTAATTATAATCTAAAATAGAATCAATTTAATAAAATTTAATTAAGTTAATGTAGTTGTGATATCAAATTCAATCATGATTTTAATTATTAGCACATATCATTAGTGTTGATATGATAAAAGGAAAATGCCAAATTTTATAATTAGTACATTTGTACTCTAATTTGATCTATTTTAGTTTATGTATTTTTAAAAATTTTAAATTTTAACCTTTATTCAAATAATACAAAGATTGTACATTTAAGTTGCATGATTTAAAATTATCAAATTGAATAAAAAGGACTAAATCTACAACTAGATTATAATGTATAAACTGATAATAAAATTTATTTTAAAATTATTGTTTAAATTAAAACCTGAGATTTCAAAATCTAAAAAATGTATAAATTAGAGATGACCAAATTAAAATATATTAATTAAATATTAATCATGGACTTTTTTTAGGAAAAAAGGAAAAACAAAATAAAACCCTAAACCCGCGTTGTACCTTTGAAAATTTGCATGGCAATCTCAAAGGTACAATCCCTAATAACACGACACCCTTAAAAGACATCATTTAATTTGCTTTTCTCTCTTTTTCTTTTTTCTTTTTAAATAATAGAAATCCTGTTATTAAATCTCTCTCTTTCCGATTAATTTCATCTCTTTCAAGACTTGTCGGACCACCGGTCATTTCCCCTTCCTCAGGTCGTTGAAATCGAGCAGAAATCCGAAGACCCACATGCTCTAATCAGGTATTCCTGTCAAAACTAATAGCTTTCATTTATCGATTTGTAAATGTGCTTATAATTAATCCCCCCAAATCGTTCCTTTTGATTTCAGTTGTGTTGAAATTCCTGAGATTTTTTTTTCGTCTGGGTTTTGTTGGAATCCCTGAAAATTCTATATTGTTTTGTTAGAACCTGATGACATTAACTGGATGGATTGTCATTGCTTACGACAACTACCTTTTGATTGGAAAACAAGAGTCGAGTCGATCTTACTTTGGGTCAATGATGAAGGGTTAATGAGCATAGGAATTATAGAGTCAAGTAATATATGAATCATGTTCTGTTTGTTTTCCAAGTTAATTTTAATGGTTTGAAATGATAATTGTGGAACCGGAAATGTTGTATTTTCATCATTGTGGTGGCTATCTGTACCATAAAGATTGAGAATGAAATTATCGACATGTATTCAATTGGAATTTGGGTTTTGAATTTATCGTAGTATGGAATTTGGTTTTTTATTTTTTACTTAAAATGAGTTTTCTTTTCTGTGACTAATCAGGTTGTTAATTTTGCTTTTATATTAGTTTTAAGGGATTTTTTGAATGCTGAGAAAAAAGGGGAGTAAAGATGGTGAAAATGACAATGATTGCTCGTGTTACTGATGGTCTTCCTCTGGCGGAGGGATTGGATGATGGTCGGGATCTGGTAGATGCTGAAATGTACAAACAGCAAGTTAAGGCTTTGTTTAAGAATCTCTCCAAAGGCCATATTGAGGCTTCAAGGATGTCTGTTGAGACCGGACCTTATGTTTTCCAGTATCCTTGCCCTGGTGTCTATTTCTTGGATTCCATATTTCTTGAATTATGAAATAAGTTTGCACTTTCCTTATCAAAAATAGGTTTATACGTTATAGTTTCTCTTGAGTGAAAGAAATAAGTTGTATGTTTTTTTCAGTATTATTGGCAGTTGAATCTTAGTTATACTGTTACCTTGACCTAAGTTCTTAGCTATATCGTTGAAGGACGTGTTTGTTACTTGACAATGTGTGACCGTTCTTATCCTAAGAAACTTGCCTTTCATTATCTGGAAGACCTCAAGAATGAATTTGAACGTGTTAATGGAGATCATATTGAAACAGCTGCCAGGCCTTATGCATTTATTAAATTTGGTAGGTTCCTTTTCTTTATTGTTTGGCCCTTTCTTCTTTTCGTATGCAATTAGTATTTTTTTCTACCTTTTTTGTGCTCCCTCTTTCCAGGCTTGATTGTATTTTTTGTCTTCAAGATACATTCATACAGAAGACCAAAAAAAATGTACCAGGACACCCATACTCAACGGAATATTACAAAGTTGAATGATGAACTATATGAAGTTCAACAAATCATGACTCGCAATGTACAAGAAGTTCTTGGTGTTGGTGAAAAGTTGGACCGTAAGATATACATTTTTCCTTTCATAATTACTTTTAAGACATTTTTATGGCGTATGAATTGAAGATTAATTGAACCTTGCTTGAATCAATGCACCATGAGGAATGTTAAAATTAAAAATCACGAGTTTGGAAAACTTTGTTTTTACAATTTTAATGCCTCAATCTGTATTGCATGTACTGGTTAAAGGTGTGAAAAAATATTTTAGGTGAAACCAGTCTGTTGCTTTATTCGATTCTTCCCCACTTTAACTTTTATAAACTACCCTCTAGCCAGTAATCCAAGTTCAAACTTGGTTGATAACTGTATGATTTTAGTACCTGATAATTATATGTTTGTATTTACAAGTAAACACTGTTTATTGGGTAGAGGTTTTGTAACTTTTGTTCCTTTTATAGTGAGATTTAGCTGTTCCAAAACTTTGATTTGCATTAATCTTACGAAGGCCTGCTTCAGCTGTGTTGGTCTATTTCTCATTTGAGTGTCTGTGGAGTTTTGTATCAGTTCACATTGTGTCAATTAAAATTTCAAAGAACATGACTTCTAGATTTTTTTGCTCCACTAGTAATTTGGCATGCAGTACAAGGCAAAGTCATTTATGGCTGTATCTTGTTATCACTTCAAATTGAAGTCACATATTGTGTTTTCTTCTTTACCGTTGCTTTAATCTCTATCCTTTTGATTGACTGCTAAATTGTATTGCTTTCGACTAACCAAGTGCATATTTCTCTTTCTTTCTGCAATACAGAGGTCAGTCAAATGTCCAGTCGTTTGACATCGGAATCTCGCAGATATGCTGATAAGGCAAGAGACTTAAACCG